AGTTGCTGACCATTTCGTTTGATGCTTCGTTTGGAGCAATGATGAAAGGCCAGAGAAAAGTGGGCAGCAGAAGGAAGATGAATCTCATTTGCCCCTGGCTAAGTTTCAAATTTGAGTTTTCGATCTGAATCTGTTTATTCTCTATTGAGAAGTGCAAAAAGGAACTGTGAGAAAAAGTCTATATTGATCTAGTTTCTAGTTGTTTTTCAATAGGGTTAACTGAGCAGTGCCAAATAATTTAAGGTAGATATTTTATCTGGTAGAATAGGATATTTCATACCAGGGATAGCTAAGCTCTAAGCTTAAACTACAATGAATGGTTAATTCAGAACCAAACTGCTAACATGAACGCTTCTAAAAAATGTACGGATGAACATTTTTATTTAATATTTTTTCTAATTTAACCGAATAATTATAAAACCCATTTAATTTGATTTCAAAAATGACTTTTTAAATATGGTAGTTGCAAGCACAAAGCTTAATAAAAGTTCAAAAAATTAGTTAGGAAACTGCTTAGATTTTCTGAAATTTTACATTTCATTAAATTTTTTGAATTCAAATATATAGTTTAAATAGATCTAAAAACAAATTGAGATGTGTACATATCTTTACTAATCGTTCACATTTCTTCAGATTTATCTAATTTTACAAAGCATAATGTCAACTGAAGATAAACTTATTACATTGCATATTTATATTGAATAGTTTTATTTTTTTTTTTGTGAGTTTCCTACCTATCACGGATTTATATGTATGACCCTTGATGCACAGGAAACTTCTTGGACCAAGCAAAGCCGTCAAAAATGATGCCCGAGAGAAATTGTATGTAGGTTCAACCCTTCACCCCGAAATGTTGCGCATTTTGCGACCATCGACGGCAGGGGAACGCTCTTATTGATGCCAGGACATTCGTCACGATTTCTTGGAGCCGGCAGACGCCTCGCGTCACTCTCACGTTCTCCAAGTGTCCTTGGAGCCCGGGTCCTCGGCTGACCCCCCGCTCCCCCCGATGGCCCCATAAATGATGCAATAATTTTTTCAACTTCAGACGAGCTGAGCAAAATCAAGAGAAATTTGCCTTTGGGAATTTGGTTCGTGAGCAGGAAAGGATTTTCGTCGCTGGCATACGTTTTGTTTGAAAAATGCACAGGACATTACGGGGAGCTTCTGCCGCCGGGACCCGTGATGTATGACGGCTGGTCAAGGGGCGGTGGGTGGGTGGTTAATGGTGGGTGGTGCAGCTGCTCCACCACTTGCCCTTCGTCCTTGGGAAGGGGGGCAAGGGACTTTCCTTTTCGTCATCTTTCGGGATCCTGACTGACCGTCAGCCCTGTCTCGGCGTCCTGCTAATGGCTCCGGTCCATTATCTCGTCATGTTTGTTACGAAATTTAATTACTCTTATTTATTTTTCACTGCCCGTCCACGTTTACGTCCACTTCCGCATCCTTGTCCTCATCCTCGTCCTCATCCTGTTCGGTTCTGTTTTGCTCAGTTCTGTTTTATGATTTTCAGCTTCGTCAAAAAATGCGAAGGCAAAAATTAAATGTGAAAAAATGAAATTAAAAACACTTTTGCATAAAGCGTTCTCGCGGCCTTTCCCTCCCCCTCCCCCTCCACCTCTCCCTTCCCTGTCCCCTCCCCCTTTTCCTTTCTCCTCCCCTCGCCCTTCACCTTTCCACTCGACCCACTTCCTTCCCGCGGTCTCATGTTTGGCCGTCGCCTAATGTTTCGTCACTTGAACTCTCAACGAAACTGTGGATTTTTCCTGGGGTTCGGGGTTGGGTGTCTCGGGATGAGTGCTTTGGGAAAAATCAAATAATTTGTTGCAGAAATTATTTTTTTATTGTTGACACGTCGACGTCAGCCGCTTTTGTGATTTTAAGGTTAAGTGAATTAGTCAGAGGTTGCGAGACTTAAAACCATTTTAATTAGGACACAATGGACAAATAATAATTTTGGTTGTTAGGATCATTTTTGAAAGCTAATCAAATTTCATTCATGAACTTCAGTTATGATTAATCAAACCAATAACATGTTATCAATATCTAAGTTTAATAGTTTTTGGTTGGTCAGTACAATTACCATCGTTGGTATTTCTTATCTCAATATAGTACTTCTTACATTTTTATTTAACTCCATGCTTAAGATTCTTTTTGTCTATGTACAGATTCTTTCAGTCTCACTTTCGTTGCATACTTTAGCAATAAGTAGAAAGGACTTGATGGCGAGCAAATGCTTGGATCCTTTAAGATTTGTCCTCTCTTCCTTTGCCGTCGTTGAACAATCCTTTTGAAATTAAATGCCCCACGGAGATGCTGACTAAGGAAACTGTTCCATTGACCAGCGATGGAAGATGGAAGATGGAAGCTGGAGGATGGAATGGACGGAATGGATGGAGTCCTCGGCCATCTCCTGCAGACCCGTGCATGTCCATCATTTGCTTTTGTCTTTCGGTTTTGTTTGCACACGCCATTTCTTGCACAAAATCCTTGCAGCCTCGGTGGCAGCCTCTTAGACCTGCCACGCCCCCGATGCCTCGCTTACGCCCACGCCCACCGGCATCCCTGCAGCTGTCAGTCAATGTGTCGTGTCACAGTGTCTCTCCATCTGTCTGTCACTTGCATGTCTGTATGTCTATTCTACGTGACACCAGGCGAGCGAATTGCCAGCTCCTCCCGCCTCCTTCCTCCCAATCCCTCCCAGCCCCTCCTCATCTCAACTTGCGGGCCAGCTTTCTTGCTTTCCTGCTTACTTGCTTCCTTGCATCCTGCATCCTTGCATCCTTGCTTCCATGCTTGCTCAAGTTTTCCACGGCATGAAGGGGGCGGAGGGGAAGGACCTCCAGTGAAGGATGCTCTGCAAGCGATGGATGGATTTTTGGATTCGCAACTTGCACTTGGATTACAAGTCTGATTTTGATGCGTACATGTTTGTCCCGCTCACAGTCACTGGGATGGGAAGTACATATTGCACTTGCCAGCACACTGCTAAAAATGAGTAGTTAAAATGTAAGATAAAGAAATAAAAAAGAAAACCCCATTGATATCTTAACTTTGAATTAATTTACGATTATTAATAAAAACATACAATATATTAATACGTATTATAATTATTAGCAAAATTATCACATATTAAATGTTTCCTTTACTGAAGCACTTTGTACTTGCCCTAGGACAAATTAAGAGATAGTTGAAAACAAGAACTAGTGTTAGGATTCCTAGCACTAGTTCTTGTTTTTAAAGTTTAAAAGTGTTTATAATTTAAAGTGGAAGATGTTATAATTCCGATTTAATATGGGTTTCAATTAAAATACAAATTAATATATTAAATGGTAGCACTTCCTAAAAGTGTGTTTTTCCACAATAATGTTTACTTAATAGAAATTAGAGTTGCATGGCAAAGCATACGCTTTTTATCATTTCTGTTTCCAGTGTGGAGGCCACCAAAACCCTCCTCTATTATGGGTCAACCTCACACAAACACGAGGGGCTGCAGGATGTGGGGGGTAGTGGGGATGAGGGGACGAGGGGATGAGGGGGAGTGTGGGAACGCTCAAGTTTTCTTACGCTTTTGTCTTTGTGTCCTTTTATTATTTTATTCCCTGGCCTTGTTTTAATTCTCAGCGTCTGCTGCCGCGTCATCCTCCTGGCCCGACTTTGTCTTCGTGGCAGTATCCTTCTTCGTCTCCGGCAACATTGTCTCAGTCCGCATCCTTGGCAAGGATGCTCACTCACAGATCCACAGACTCATGTGAATGCCTGTGTGGCAAGTAGATGTGGGATACGGGATGTGGGAGCTGCAAGGCGGCGGCTCTTGTTGTTGGGTTGTAAGTGACATTCGCAATTTTCAAAACTATTGAATGAGTGACAAGTTCTGCAGACACGATTGAAACTGACAGTTAACTCGAGACTCGGCAAACAGTGACTTGCATTGAATCTGCAAGTATGCATGCAGTTATATCTTCTAAAAGATGTAAAGTGATCATGGGATGTTTTCTATTCAGCAAGCTTTAATGGTTGAAAGGCGTGTTTACCATAATCCCTAGGACTTCTTTGTAGTTCAACAAATCTCGTTTATTTGTATTTATTTTTGTAAGGCATTTCCGGAACACTTTTCAGTACTGACAAACCAATAAAGTCGGACAGCTGATGATGATGACGCCACCGACTCGATGAAGAGGTGACTCACTGGCCATTAACAATTTCATTTATTCTGTCGCATCGGGCGAGTGAGTTGGGCTCGGTCTGCCGGGGACATTCGACCCAGTCTGTCTGTCAATGTCAACATCAATGTCACTGCGTCCTGGACCAGACATTTTGACAAATAATTCAAACCGCATTTTATAATGAATTTCCCAGCGGAACGAGCAGGTTGGGATGGGATTGCCAGGAGGGCGTGGCTGCAGTTAGACTGCACCTGATAAGCCCCTCTCCAAATTCCATATTCGGCCAGACATTTGCGGGAGATTTATGCGAAATAAATTCCAGGGGAGAAAAAGGCACCGGGCTGATAATCACATTGATGAGCGTGGCTTTATTTTTGGACCCGGGCCTTAAGTGCCAGAAAACGACGAGTTGGCGTCACTCACACTCGCATCATCCGCCCATAAAGAGATGGTTTTATGGGGCAGATGCGAATGGGGCGACTCCAGTGTGCTTTGCGATCGTAAATTCGTACTCCCCACCATCATAAAGGATTGTTAACCGAATGCTAATGGACATCGGAGATCGTTTGCTGCAGGGGAAACCCACTTGAACCACATTTCCCCAGATCTATCACTCACCAATAGACGCAAAAGGTCAGTTTGAAAGGACAAAATATTACCACAGATTCAGTAAATTCATGACTGCCATAAAAAACCAATTAGCGAAAAATAAAAGCGGCAGACCGTTTAAAGCCAAAGTTAGTCATGCTTCAGTCGACTTGTTTTGCAACCTGAATTTACATAATCGCCGTTCATTAAGGCGACCCAAAAAATCGATATTCGAAACAAAAGAAATGTTGTTATTACCGCTGACAGCTGCCATCATATTCGATCGCATCGTCAATGTCAATTATCATAAAGAGACCCAAAAATAACTTACAATTTGTATTTAACAAACATTTTCGGCAACCAAAATGGATTTCTGATGAGGAACCAAGATGTTGAAGTCTGATATTAGGGATCCAAAAAGGAGATGGGAGCTGGTTCCTCCTTTGGGTCTTCGGAAGTGGGCAAGATTAGCTCTCCAATGGGAAACACTATGGATTTGAATTGCTCGTAGATGTGCAGGGTTTCGAAGTGGAATCCATTTTCTATTATCACGCAATTTCGCTCTCCCTTAAGCTGCTTGGAGATCGGGATCAGGTCCACATTGGTGCAGTTAAAGAAATAACTGGGTGAACTCAAGGCCACCACAAGTTCATAGCACCCTTCAAGGGATTCGTTCCAAATGGAGACGGATGAGAAGGAAAGGGTTTCTCGCTGGCAGATGTCGATGGCCTCCTGATTGTTCCGGAATGTGTGAAATGTGATGACACCGGTTGGAAATTCTCCCAGCTCTTCCAAGGGGCATTCACAAACGAATATTGGCGAAGCCAGTGGAGGAGCCACCTCAGTAACGTCGGCTTTAATTACTTCCAGACTGGAGTCCTCTAACTTTTCCAGTGCTTGCAAGAAATTGGGATGTTCAGCCACGGATTCAGAAAGTGGGTGCAGCTTGGGAAGGATTCTCTTGACGATATCCTCGCGAATTCTCTCCTCAACCAGAACCATTGCCACCGCATTCGAGGAAAAGGGATAGTGGGCTGATTCCAGGAGAAAGTGCAGGGCACTGTTGATGTCCCCTTCCTCGAAAATAATCATCAGTTGGGGAGTTGATTGGGGGAACACTGAGGTTTGGGGAGTTGAAGGGGGAGTTGCAGCGTGAGCGGCCTCTAAAGTTTGGGGAGTTAGAGGGAAGTTTCTCTCTGAAGTTTTGGTATTCGGTTCGGATTCTGAGGCTTCCTGTACTGAGGCTTTCTGTACTGAGGCTTCCTGTACTAAAGGATCATCCTGCAGACTGCAGTCCAGGTTGTGAACCATGTCATAGGTAACCGGTATGTACGAAGGCGGTGGTTCTTCGGGTTCCAGTTGCGAAGGGTGCTCCGAATCCACATAACGCGGAAAGTATTTGGTTGTATCGAACATTGTTTGTTTTCCAAATAGCTTGTGTAAACAGTAAATGCAAATAACACTAAACGTCTGAACATTTTAAAATATAACTTTTGGTTTATAAATACATAATTTAGTTGGTTCCACAAAGAATAGCTGATAATACCCGATGGCCCCGTGCATTAATAAGCGATACCTAATTATTTTGGCTCTATCTAAGGCAATTTAATTTGGATTCGATAACATAACTCTAATCAGGCCCCGGGGCTTAGAAAGTCCTTTCAATGGAGCTCAACGCAGCCCCACAAACATAATTGGAGCCGGGCACAGTTTAGTTAACCAAAACCCAGCGCGTTTCATTTGTTAATCGCTTAATTTATGATCAAATGTGACAGTAAAATTAAAATATCACAAACAGATACAAAAAGCCGAAAATACACACAAGTGCTTAGCCATCGCCCAAACAGAAATCCGAAAATGCATTCGGATTTGTTGAAATTAGCATTAAAATATTATAAATATTTTGCCAAAATATTACAGTCTTTTTTCCTTTGCATTTCAAATCGCCCCCATTTTTGGACTCACAACAAAGAGCATACGATTATGAAACAACAGAACAGGACTAACAGCGACAATTAAAAACATTTAAAACCGCAGGAAAATACTTTTTTTGGTTTAGCGCCATGGCGAGCTACAAACACACCGCAAAAAAATGAATAGTAAATTCCCTAACGAGTTGAGGGACATCCATGTGGACATCAAGAGCAGCAACAACACAAAACAGCACAGCAAATATAACAAAACGATAATTCTGCTAACGATGACCATTTACATATATCAAGAGTAATTATAATAAAATGCCGAAAATAAAATTAAAATTAATATAGAAAGCCGATTATAAAATCCTGTTTATACAAACAGATATCCCCCCGCACACACATGCACACCCACACACACACCACACACATTCCATGTAGCAACAACAACTGTCAAAAATAGCAAATCCCATAAATCAACAATGAATTTTCGCCCAGCAAAAAAGGAATGGAAACACAAATAGAAAAAATGCAAAAACATGCCTGATTTCGAATACATAATTGAAGACAAATAAATTTGTATTTATTTTCTATGCAAATATAGCTTTTGTCCAAAACAAATCATAGCCGATTTTACAAGCCCGATCGTTACAAGGCCATTATTACCTGTTTTTTAAAATTAAGGCACCTCTTTGTTAGCTTTGTATATTCCGTCAATTTTCATTAGTTTTAAGAATGTCTTAAAAATGTCCAAAAATATAATAAGGAAATTATGTGTAATTATTTTTGGGGTAAGTTTTTGATAAGCAAATAAATTTACGATGGTCATCACATTCTTAAACTTTCAGCTGATTCTGGCTATATTACTGCGAATAATAATAACTTTTACAGTGAAGTTCAGTAGCTTCCCAATCACGCATAATGTAACTAGTTATTTTGCTGGTCTAACAAGTATTATTTCCATTGTTATAAGCCTCTTTTGGATCAGCAATTTCATAGTTGCTATAACTGCGGACTGGATCGCCGCAGGAGTAAGTATATCAAATAAAACAAAACATCAATGCAACAAAAGTCAATTCCTTAATTAGTATATACCACTTCTCATTTACGTTCTGCACTGGACGAACTTCAAATTTTCAGAGCGATTACAAGATATGACCAACAGCTATGATGTATTTATTAATGACCTTACACAAAAATGGTTTGGTTACTTTAACAACAACGAGACGTACTGGCCCAATCTCGAAAAGAGGGTTTGATTTAGATTTGATGTTTATTGCTTTTATTTTTTATATCATTTCGCAGCTACAATGCTGTGGATTGGAAGGACCCAGGTCTTATATGGACTACATGCAAATGGTTCCAAAACACTGCTACAATCCCGAACTTATTACTCTAGGTTGCAGTCATTGGTTTCAAAACATATATTTCCCAATGCAGAAAATAGGGTTCCTACTACTCAGATTTGCACTTTTGATAGAACTGAGCATGTTGTATTTTTATGCTTTTAGGGTTTTTAAAAAGCTTTTAAGTTTAATTGGTAAACGGTACCTAAAAAAGGTTTTTAAGCCATGTTTATGAAAATAAAATTTGAACTACCCTGGTTTAAATGTTTTTTTTTTCAGCCTAATGTGTATACAACATTGAAATATACAATATCTGCTTGGTATTTATTGTTTTAGAGTGCCAATTTTTATCTATGCCACTTTGGCGCATAAAACATGCAGATGACAAACCTGAATGGGACAAATGAAATAAATTGAAATTAGCTTCCTTTTGTTGCCGTTGACAATTTGAATAAAATTAATATAAATTTTCTCACATTTTTAATTAATAAATGTCAAATATTTTGCGTATGGGTATTTATTTGTAAATTTATTTGTCTGATTTGTAAATTTCCTTTTTTTCCGTTTGTTGTCTTTTGTCTGCTGTGGCATTTCATGGAAAATTGATTTTGTTGTAATTGCGACGATAACAAATTTCCCTGGCATTTTGGTGGAAAGGGGGGTTTTGGGGAATGGGGGGCGAAAAAAGTTACGAATGGCGCCAAACAGAAAAATGGGCGAGAGAGGTGAACGAGTGGCGGAAACGTACTTTGGACTCGCGCGGCGGAAACGGAAGTCAATATTAGTAGGCAAAAATAAATTTTAGCCACTGCAAAACAATTCACATTAAGCAAAACGCACGAATTTTGACAATTGCACACAATTATTAATGGTCAGAATCTGTCGCGCTTTGCTGCCCCGAATTATTGTTTTTGTCCATTTTTTGCTCTGCATTTTATTTATATAGATGATATCAGGAAATCAATTTTGGGAAATTTATGACCGAGAGTCATGCTTTGCCTCCGCGGTCTAAGGTAGATAAATGAAAATTGCTTTCGATTAGTTTAACAATTGCTAAACGAACTACTCAAAAATGAATAAAGCGAGGGTGGTTTGAAGACCTTGTAAATTATTAGTGGTACTTGAAACTAAACTTTGGTGCCTTAAAACTAAATATTTTAATATATTACAATATTTTAATCATATATAATTATTAAAAGATTTTTACAGTCGTTAAAAATAAAGAAAACCCGTTTTTTGCTTAACGAGCTAATTTCGAGAATATTATGTTTTTATTTTTCATAAGAATACTTTCGTACGTTTTATAAGCATATTTTACTTACAGGTAAAACTGAAACTGAGAGTCCCATAAATACAATTTATAGGTATATAAAAAGAATTTAAATAAATACAATATAAAAATAGTAAGTTTACTATTTTTCTTTTGTTAGTCACAAGACTTCGGGGTATTGCTGTACTTATGGGCCAAACTGCGAACCCTTTGCATTATTAAACTGCTCTTGCCACTCTCGCTATCGGGTTGGTGGATCCGGTGTCAAAGTCAGTCATTAAGCACGTGAACGATCCAGCGAGTGACGTGTGGCGGCTATGAAATCGGTTTGATTGATTGCCGTTCCCGAATTGACGACGATAGGAGGACCACACGCTTGTTAACTCTGTCAGAGTTGGGTTTAAAAATACACTCTACGTGTGCGATAAGTGGGAACAGGTCATAAATACCCGGCACCCACGGCAGTAATTTCTTATGGCCCCAACAAAAATTCCCTAATGTGCGGATGGGTGCTCGCAAATATTTCTTGGCTGGCAAGTGTCAAACATTGGCCATCGCACAGACAGGCAGCCATCAGAGTGGGACTTATCATTCGCTCATAAAAATGTCAAAACTATCACGCTGACATTGACTGATGACGGCGACCCGAACTGGAGGACTACGGGAAGGCATCCTTGCGAGAGAGGCATCCTTGTGCAGACGTTAAATGCCTCGTCTCCTCCACTTGTCACATATCCATTCCGCCATCCTTCAACACGCATCCCCTGCTGACTGATTCCACTCCATCTCCCTGCTGCCATCGAGATGTTATTTTTTTCTCGGAGCCACTGCATTCCATCCATCCATCCATTCATCCATCCATCCATCCGTCAATCGAGTGGGTCTGAGTTCGAGTCGAGCATCGCATAACCATTCAGCAGAGTCCTCTGCTCGGCATGATTCATGGCTCCGATTGAATTTTGATTGACAATATCGCAAGCATTTAAAGTGTCTGTTTCCGCTTTCCGTGTTCTATGAATATTTTTTGCTCCACTCTCGCCTTTCGCCTTTCGCCTTCCAAGTGGCTTGACTCCTCGATGGCGAGGCTTCGGCGTAGTGATTTTAAAAATCATTTGTCACTTGACAGATGAGCGATTGATTGACTTCGTCGGCTATGAATTCATCACAGCAACTGGATGAGCTAACTAAAAGAGGTGTTGAGGTGTTTAAGTGGAGTATTAGGTGGTATTGTGTGGGTATTTAGGGGTAAATTGGTGATATATGAATACAAAACAAGGTAGATCATCTGCAGTATATCTGAAGTGCCTCACCTTACAAACTATCAAATAAAATAAATATTAAATTAAAAAGGTAGGTTTGAGTAATATAAAAATATTATTAACTTATATTAACTTAGCCAATGGATTCGCCTTAAGTCTTAATTTGAGCTGAATCGAACATGCTTACCCTTTTTACCGATAATTTATAGTGCCAAATCAACTCATAGGTGATAATCGCGATGACTTTCCACAATGTTGTCATAAGAAAAAAACTAGTTCATGTAAATTTATAGCCTTTAATATATGTGTGTCATCCCCAAGTTGATATCGATTACAAACCCCATTACGAGCGCCCACTCTCTCAGCCTGGACGCACACATTAATTAGCGATAAGATCACCTTCAGCTCTCTGGATGTGAAAATATCAATTTCATTTTGACATTGATTGAATTAATTTATGAGCCGTGCCTTCCCAGCAGTTCGCACCCAACGAGTTTATTTATGACCGTTACCAATTCGAACCAAATCAGAGCGATTTGAGTGATTACCTGTTCGACCAATTTGAGATGTATGCTCCCAACCGGAGCAAATGCTGTCGTCCCAGCTGGAAATCTAATCGATACCGAGTGTCTGATAAGGATGTTTTGAATTGGAAATTCGAATTGGTCTACTATTGAATTGGAATTAGTGCCAAAGAAATCGAATGGTTTCTTCTAATGTATGATAAATAAGTTTTAGGGAATATTTTTATTCCCAAGCTATCAATATAATGTTACAACACTTCGATTATAATAATAATAAATATGATGAGTATATATTATTAGATTAATATATAAAACTAATATTAAAATGATTATAGTATATCATAAAATTATTAAAATAAACTAAGTAAGCTGGTGCTAAATTGTTATTATTAAATAATAAAAATAGTAATAACTATTATATTTATATTATACTTAGTTTTTAATTATTTGAATTGGATTTTCCCACCATTCAAATAAAAAGTGTTGGGTATTTCGTTTGACCAAATAAAAGGTTAAAAAATGCAGTTGGTAATTGGCAGCTGCAAGTGCAACTGCAACTGCTTCCGTTCGTGGCACAGCAATTTTTTACCAGAACATATAGAGACCTGCATATATACAGCAGATGAAACAGTCACGCACTTTTTCGGACTCCCAAAGGGGGTGGGCATGATGGGGTAATGGGGCGGAGGGGTGGTGGGACGATCACGTCCAGTGGAGGACACATTTCAATTTACTCATTGCGCCGCTGTCAACGGAGGAGGTTTTGGACCTGTCGCAACCTGAGGCCTGACAACAATCGCCAACAATCAGTGGGAAATGCGTTCATTTTAGGACATTTGGCCGTAATTGAAAGCGACTTGCCATCCAAATGGTTTTTAATTATTTTTTAAATTTATAACTCCTGGATCGGACCCCTTTTCACTGCAGCACCCGCAGCAAATAAATTGCAAATTATTACGTATTTTCGTTCCGCTGGCAGTCATACTCGTATATATTTTAATTTTAATTCAATTGCACATCGCTCAGCGGAACGGATTCTGTGGATCCACTGGCTCTTCAAATAATCGGACATTTTGACGCAAATTATCCGCTGTGGGCCCAAGGGCTAGAGCCGATTGTCTTTGAGCTTATTATTTCATTAACGAAAGGGATTTCCGTCCTGCGCTCATCCACACACTTTTCAGCTTTTTTAGTGGGTGAATATTTTCTTTATACCAAATTTATGTAATAGTAATTAATATATAAACTCAAATTTTAACTGAAGTATATCTATAAAAAAGCGGTTCGATATTTATCAGTTCGTCAAACAAATATGAATACTTGAAATGGAAAAAATTTAAAAAATGTGTGTATTATTTTTAAAGCTTAACTTTAGGAATACTATTAAGGTAGGCAATTTATTTGTTAAATATACAAATTAAATAAAACAAATACTTACTATTTTCCTACGTTACGTTTAACGACTTAATTCAAAATGATAATTAAGGCAATAAGGTATGAAATTATATTTAAGTGCTATACACTTTTTTCAAGCAGTAATAATTTTAGTTTTAAGTCTATATATTTTTTTTAAAATCTCGTTTAAATAAATTTTTTATAGTTTTGGGTTGTTCAGGAAATTTAATGTAAATTATATAATAAAAAGTTTACCCAAAGCATTAAAATAGTAGAAAGGAATGTGTTAATTCTAATGTTTCCAAAAAATATCGAAAAAAACTTAGGATGCAGCGAGTGAATATATTTCGTATTGAATGCATAGCAAAACAGCTTAAATGCAAATGCAAAATAGTTTAAGGTCCGGATCGCTGAGGCAGTGGGAGTGGCCCAGGTATTGGTTGATCCGGCTGATGGGGCTGGTCAACAGTAGAACGTCCGACAGACGGACGGTGGCCTCAAACATTCCGTTGCCGGGAGTGGTTCGGATCCTCAGCCGCAGCTCGTAGACGAAGGACTCCTCGCCGAGGTCCACGAAGTAGGCCTGAAGGACCCTGTGCAGCTTCAGTTGCCTGCACTTTCCGAGTGGCTTCACCATCTTGTTGATGGACTCCACCAGGAAGCGACTGCACCGCAGGACCAACCCGTCGTCCGTGGGAATTTCGGTGAGCTCGCGGCAGAAGCAAAAGAGCGAGGGAATGTGAGCCAGGTCGCAGGTCCTGTGATCGGGAATCGGAAGGAAGAGACTCACTCCCCGGGGAGTCCTTTTTGCGGGATAAGGCAGCAGACTGTTCATCCTGACTTCAATGCTGGCATTCTGCAACTGGTCCAGATCAAGCACATCCTTTATAGTCTCGTGCAGATCGAAGGGTGTAATCAGGCTGTGGGCGTTCTTCTCGAGGTTCTCAAAGGCCAAGGGGTACTTCTCCTTGAGCCACTCGGGGTACAGGGCCACCAGAAGGGGTTGCGACTCCTCCCTCAATCCCTGGAAGCCCATGCGATACCTTCCAGCCCGTAGTCCGTGGTCGGAAACCAGGAAGAGCAAAGTGTTATTCAGAACATCCGCGTCTAGCAACTTCTTCAGGAGCATCATGTAGGAAAGATCCAGTTTCTGGCCGAATTCGTAGTACTCCTCGACTCCCTGCGACTGCCAGAAGAAGGAGAAAAAGGGTCTATCCTGCATGTGAGGCACTAGTTTCGCTATGAACTCGTCAAGGATGCTCTTAAAAGTGCGTCCTCCGGTGCAGTGGAGCATCTCCTTCAAATCGATGCTGTACCGCGTGTAGTTATCCATCGCGATCATCACAGGCGTTAGATCAAAGTCGGTGTACGGTCTGCTGCCCCACTTCTCCTTGTTTCTCTCAAGGATGCCATGAGCAACATCCTCTCCGTAGGCAGTGCTGTATCCTGCGTCCTTGAATATCTGCCACAGAAGAGCCTCCTTGGAAGAAAGCAGTTCCGGGTTCACTTCGTTCACACTTAAGCCACTCAGAAGAGGCATTGCGTTGGCATAGGCATCCAATCCCACTCGACTGTACCCGAAGAACTGGGTGTGCGGCATGCTTTCCACAAAGCCCCTCAGGAAGTAGAAGTAACGCAGAAAGTGCAACTGGGAAGTAGAGTCGATACCCATCACCATCACAGATAGTTTTTCAGGAGTTCCTCTGGTTTTCGAACTTGTATCAGGCGGTGGCAAGAAGTAATGCACATCGTGATACTTGCTTTCATTCAGTTTGTTCAAACACTTAATGCGAACTATTTGCTCGCCAGTTCCGACTTTAACTTCTTTGTTCACTCCAAGTTTTAATTCGAAGTGTCCATCCATTGGATACTCTTCAAATCGAATATCCTCTTCCGGTTGTATCCAATATCTGCACTTCAGATCCTCTTGAGCATTTATGGCAACCAGGACATTACGGCCTCCTTTCGTTTTCGCAATCATCAGTTGGGGCATTCGGCATCGCAACTTGTGGACGGGTTCAATTGCAGTGGAGAACCTTGCTGATTTCCTTCGACCAATTATGCGGCACTCGGAGGTGTTGATGAAGACTACTTCCCTGGGTTTCTCGACTACTGGTTTTTCCTCATAAAATTTCGTCAGGGGATAAAGGCCGAAGTACAGCATGAAAAATAAGCCGGTGAGGATCATCAACGCTCTCATTCGCTTAAGCAACTTCCCCATTTTTCCCTTTCTTAGATAATTTCTTCCCGGTTTTTATAGGACTCACAATTACGATTTTATATGTTTAAAATATCTCTCAAAGACATTTGATACAACGCCTACTTTTACGAACCTAAAAGAACTGCTAACCAGCGTCACCTTCTTCAATTGCTTTAGTAATTTCCAATTAAGTGGTGGATAATTAAAACTATGCTGGTACTGAATTAATAATATCGAACAAAGCTGGCAAAAATAACAATTGTTTTTCAAATTTATTTCCATACCTAAACGCTATGGGAGAAATTAATTAAAATGGCCAAAAATGATTAGAAAATAGCGAAATGAATAAATAAAAGAAAGAATAAATAAACTCAAATTTTCTGGCAATTGTTGATCCCACATTTCGATACCGACAGTGCGGAAATAAAAAACCGAAAATGAAATAAAGCCACTAATAAATAAGGAAATACCTAAATACCATTCCAAAATAATTTTTGCAATTGTTCTAAATAAATAATGAGCACAACTGTACTGCCGAACTTTTTTGGCCCGGCTAAGCCATGTAAATGTGTGCGTTTGTCCATTTAAATTATAAAATCTAATCACCTTTGTTTAAAATTTAATGAACGCAATAATTTTAGAGGATTTGCGTCCACATGTCGTTGGGGATGGAGTGTAATTTTGAGGGAAAGAGGAGTTCTGGGTGTCCGGGATAATTGGCGACAGCCGCCAAATGTTCCGTGGGGTGTAAAAAATGACCAGCAGAAGGCATAAAAACTAAACAACATTTTCAAAAAACAAATAAAACGGATTTGTATCTATCGGCGGTCGAACAAAACAAAAGAGATTATGAAAAAGCATAACAAAAGAATTTTATTTCCCATTTTTATATATCATCGTATGCAAATAAGCAGTTTACAAATACCAGCAACCAAATATTTGAATGGTCGGCATAAAAATCGAGCAATTTATTTAACAAATTATCCATTTTAGCGCTGTTCGCTTTGTTTTGTCAAATGAGGTTAATTTGTGTTTAACCTGACATGTGCTGGTCTCGGCCTCTTGCTGCGGTCAAGTGTGGGTAAACGCAGTTTGCTGGCTTTTCCAGCCATTACCAGTGTGGGTGAATGCAGTTAGAAGCGTCAACATGGCGGCATTTTACAAATTGTTTGGCATTATGAAGGAAATAGACACAATTAGAGATAGAAAAGCAAAAACTTGTAGTTTTATTATAATACTTTTGAATTTTGAATATTAATTTAAAAAACTATTCTAGTAAATAATTATTAAAATTGTTTGAACGGTTTATTTTGCTGTTATATCAACGAAATGCATTCTAGATCTTAATATACTCTATAATAGTCCTTTAGTTTTATCTTTGGCTAACCTTGTATAAAAAAAACGATACTACATTGATTTGGAAGTCCCACCGTTCGCACTCCTAATTCCCATTCGATCGGAATTGTCGCTCATTTTCATGTCCAGTGCAGTGGCACGCATGATATTACATATCTATGCAGGCGTGTCTGTATATATAGAGAAACACATATAAATCCAATCCAATATAATTGCAGTGGACACGCCAAAGAGCACGCCAGAGTGGAGTGTTTTCGGGAAAGTGGGTGGATGGGTGGTTGGGTGGTTGGGTGGTGATGGTGATGGTGCGTTGACGTTGTCATCAAAATAAAAATTAATTATGCATTCTATGCGCTGCATTTGAATTGCTTTTGTTGTTTGTTACTGTCATTCCCATTTTGAGTGCGTTTGTTGTGGCTTCGCTGCAGTGGTTGTTGCTATTGTATCTCGTTTTGTTGCTGTTTTTGTTGTGCGGGATTAATGTGGCATTAAAGCACCGCGCGTACTTTTTAGCATTTGGATCCGATAACTGCGGGGCAAATAAATTACAAATATAATAATTAAGCAGCATTATTTTTGACAAAACAAATGCACACAACCCCTCACCTCATCCCGGAAATCCTGGAAAATCGGGGGCGTTATCGGGCGCACCGTAGTTCGGCCCATCGGCGGTAGATGGCGCTGTGGCGCCACTTTGGGCGTGCTGTGCGATGTTGCACTAAAATGCATTTGTGCATAGGAATTAATTACGCATAATGACAATTTGATAAAATTGAAAAATTACATTTTATTTAAATTGATTTATTGTAATTAAAAATTCTATAATGGCACCCAGGTCCCGAGTTCGCGGTCCACGCCAGAAATGCATTTGCGAACAATGCGAATTTAATTTTATCAGCACTGCACATTGTTGTTGGTCGATTGTGTGCCATTGATTAGGCCCACAAAAGTATTCAAATAATTAGCAAAAGCGTTGATCACAAAGCCGTTCATCTCGATGGAGTTTTTATAAGTATGCCGAATTATTGAGATTTCCCAAAATTTCATTTCCAAGACGATAGTAAATTATAAAATAATATATAATTAACAATTTTTTTTTAAGATAGGAAATTTTTTTAATCTGTTTATAAATACCGAAAAAAAGTGTTTTTTTAATAAACATTTTTTGTAAAAGACAATATAATATTTAAACCCCATATTGTGTATATTTTCTTATATTACATTTTACAAATTATACATTGTACTTTCGAAAACATTAAATTGTTGTTTATTTTTTTTTTTTTTTTTAATTTATAAAGAAAAGGCATTACTATGTTTTAGCAGTTTATTTATCAACACATGAAATATTTGATGGAACCAAAAAAGGAAACCTAATAAAAATAGAACACATAGGATAGTTTCTCTTTGAGCCACTGCAGGAAGCCAACTTTTTGGAAAATATGTTCTTGTAGCTCTTTTTCAGATTGGGCCGTTTCCATTTGATGAATAGTTACCTCATTCCTGTCCTCAACATTGTTTACATCATTCACATTGTTCACGTCGATGGTTGCGGTCATTGTACTTGTCGCTTCGTTATCAGTGGATTTCTCATCGATATGAGAACAACTCTCCAGAGCTTCAATTAGATCATTTTCGGTAGCAGGATTTTCCGCCTTGACTTTCACACGAATATCTCCACCGTATCCAATTTTCTGGCCATCGTAACTCAGAGCTATTTGGCAGTCCACCATGCTCAAGTACTTCAGATACATTCGGTTCGTTTGCGTGAAGCTCTTGGCAACGATAATACCGATATCGTGAAAGAACCGATAGACAACGTAGGCCCGATCCAATTCGTAATCGCTCACGGATACCCAAAATGTGTTAGTCGGCTCCTGATTTCTCCTTCTTTTACGTTCTTCCCCAGTTGTTTGCTCCTGATTAGTAAAAGCTGAGTGATTGAAGTCGTTTGTTGAGTCATTCCCAATCACTTGTCGATCATCAATGGGTTCATTTCGGAACGGTGGTAAATATTCTTCTTGAGAACGCTCAAAAACCCAGCACACCTCAAACTCTTTTCTACAACAATGTGAATCGTCCATTTCGTGTTCTTTTTTTACTTGTCGAAAGTTGTTGATAATTTTATTTGTTAAGAGGACAGTTTTTAGAAGGATTACTAAGCATCATAAATAGTTTAGACCGAAAAATTTTAAGTAAACGAACCTTCAGAAAACATTTTCAGAGTGACATCAAACTCAAAATTAAACAAAGAGAATGCTTAGATTTTATTATTATTAATTCTAGGACCGCGTCTAAAATTTAAACTTGAAAATGAGAATCTATCAATCAATATTTATACTTAAGTATTAAAGATTTATTTTTATCAAATAAAGGAGACTTATTTAAGGTGATCAATTTTAAAACTTTTACATGAACCAAAAAAAGATAATGTCTCCTTTTATTGATAACAATTAGTTGACCAAAAATAGAATGCCTTTTGAAGGGCAAATCCCCATAAAGAACCGAATAAAGATCTGTTCCCTATGATGGAAAATTCCTAGCCTTGTTTTATTTATGAAAATTTGCCTTCTATTCCTGAGGAAATACCAAATATGATTTAGGTCGCCCTGTGAACACAGCTCTCCGCCCGAAATCGTTGGGATAATCCGAGCCACAAGAAAAGACCAACATCAAACGGTCCGTGGGCCCCGAACACCCGGTTTTGCTTTATTTACGCATAATTTCGTACAATTTATGAGCTAGGTATTCGGGCTCCACACACATAAATTTCCCAGCTCCAGAAAGCAGGGAGGCGTCCGAATTCGAATCCGAATCCGAGTCGAGGCGAGTTCAAAGCGTTTTCCTCTCGCGGAGTCAATAAAATATTAAAAATTAGCTGATACAAATATAAGTAATACTTGGAGGCGCCAATGGCTGTGGTGCTACGTGAAGTGGTTGTGATTGTGATTCGGGTTTCGCTTTCGGTGGCAGTGGTTGCCACCCACAATGGGGCACAAAGAGGCCGGCGCGGAAGTGTCTTTCAACTGGCAACATTTTGGGGGCCATTAGCCGGGTCGGAGATTAAAGGCGGCAGCTTCCGTGGGCCAGGTCGAAGGAACTTCAAACGGACTGCTGATTGCTGATCGGTTCTCATCATAATTCGGGGGATCGAACGAGTGCCTAATTTGTTTGTTTGTTTGCCTGCACTGGCGGCGGCATTCCTTTGAACCAGCCGACTCTATCGAACTCAGGTGCGATCTGACGGATCTGCCGAGTGGAGCGGAGTGCCTCCCTCCCCCACTTTCATAATTCCCATCGACTGCCGCGGGAAATCCAAGGTGTTAATCATCCGCGAATCGTTAAGCATAATCTCGGAAATGGGCCAGATCAAAGACGGATCTCCTTCTTGACCCAGTAAAATCCAATGAGCTATTCGCCAACGAACTCTGATCTATCTGCTGGCCTCGAGAGCAATCCTCCGGAATGTCGGCCGCCGTTTACACCTTCTTTATCAGGTATTTAACTGGTGTGATCTTATCAAAGCGAAAAGTCTATTGGGTAATGGGTTTGCGAGAAAAATGTTTAAAGTTCAAACATAATTCTTTCACAGTGAACCGAATACTATTATGGCTGTATAGCTATGAAATATGTCTAATGTCATAAATCGGTAAATTTTGGTGTTATAGAGTTATTAGCGGAGGAGGTACTGAACATAGTTGTATGAATTACCATTGCGATAACAAACGAAAAAACAAAAAATCAACATTTTCATTATTTTGAAAACGTTACACTTGTTACAAATTAAAAAAAAAAAACATTGCTGCCTGCAACTACAAACTGAAATTAATCCTGAATTAAATCAGAAATTACTTTATTTTCGAAATGCTTACTGTTAACTTTTAGCCTCTTGAAATTGCGTTGTACATTTTGTTTGTTTTATTTCCTTAAAAACTGTTTCTCGTTATAATACATGACATACCTGATAATAAACTTTTAATAAATACCTGATAACTAACTAAAAGGAAAACATACGATATTTTCAATTCTTAACCTTACAAAAATTGCCATCGTATGGTATTTTTTGCCAATTCCCTGGATTGTTTTGAAATCGCTAACCAACACAACAAAACGCTGTTTATGTTTTTTATTGGTGGGTGGCGTGGGTGGCATGTGGCAGGGGTGGAGCTGCTGTGGAGGTCGTGCGTCGACGCCTCTGCCGACGTCGCTGCCTTCGAATTGCCGGCAACTTTTTTGCACATGCAATTTTGTTTACAAGTGTGTGTGTGCTAATGGATTTGTTTGTGCTGGAGAGCGCACTCTCTCAAGCTTTTCTCTTCCACTTGGACGCTGACTCTTGCAGCGCTGTTTCCAATCAGAGAGAAAGAGAGAGAGCGCGCGAGAGAGAGAACCAATTGGTCTTTCGCTCTTTCGTTTCCCCTTTTTGCAGAGACAGCTGGGGTTTCATTTCCAGCGTTCCGACTGCCCCGCCATTTCCCCTTAAACAGCTCTGTCTCTCTTTGTTGCTCTGTTTTTGACTTCCCCTTCGGACAAGCAGCGGCGCGTTGCGCTATCTCGCTCTCGCACCCAATGGAAGTGGACTAGTTTAAGGTTTTGCTTCTTTTTCGCTCTTTATTTATTCGCTTTTTGCGATTTCTTTGTTTTTACCTTTCTGGTTGTGTGCGTGTGTGTGAGTTAATTGTTGTTGGTGCCAAAGTAAAGAGCATTGAAAAAGGGGGCGGGGGTGTATTGTCATATTCCGTCTTGCTTTGTTTTTGCAATCTTCAAGTTGACGTTTATTTTTCAGCTCGCCTTTCCCTCTTTCAGCCCTTTCTTTCCACTCTGCTTCCACTTCCATATCCATTGTGTTTGGCTTTCATTCGGCATAAATCATTTGCGTGGGTCAGGTGAGAAGTACTCTGAACTTTGGGTGGATCGATCAGTTCTTAAAGCAGTTTTTAAAAACCCAGGTTAAGCTTTGTTGAAAGAATGCACAGTAGGCGAAAACGGTTCAAATAATGTTTGTTAGCTATCTTATACCAATGAAAAATTAAGATTATTGCTCATCAATAAAATTTAATTAGAAACAACAAATATTCTAAGAAAATTCTTGTTCATTTCAAGTTAATTCAATTGTATTGCCTAATTGGTCTTTTTTCTAAATTAATTAATTTTCACGTTTGGCCTTGTTTAAGTATTGAACTATTATTAATTTAAAGTATCAAATTAAAAGAATCTAATTGTTTTGAATATCTGACAACTATTATTATCAAATTGTTACTTTTTAATATTTATCCTTATCTTTTTAGAGTGTTTTTTCCCATCTATTTTTTTGAGTTTCACGTTTTTTGCACTCATTTAGTATTATTTTTTATTTCCTGTGTGTATCAAGAGAAAATGATTTTGAAACAATTTTAAAATAGGCAAAACCTGATTTTAAGTTTTAAAATTTATTATTTATTTATATCTTAAGAAACAATCTGCGAAACTGAACTTATATGAAAGTAGTCCTACAAATTTAAAACTGTAAAAATGTATAATTATTGTACCATGTTTGTTGTTATGTAATCTATAAATACAAACAACTATTTAAAAAAGATCACATTGTACGGCAGTAAATTATCATTAGCTGGCCCCAAAAAAAGTCCCTTGTCAAATTTCTGCTTTCAAATTTCTGTAAGTTCTCCAATCAGAGGACCCTCGCGATGGTTTCTCCAAAGGGCAGGGAGCTCACGAAGAGTGTCCTCCACTCGGGGAAGGTCCTTCAGCAATTGCTGAGCTGTGTTTGCCGGAGTTCCCAGCGGATCCCGAGTGCCTTATCTCGGAACTCCGAGAGCAATGTGGAGCAATTGTCGCAGAGCCACTCGTGGCTGAGGGACAGCATTTGTGTCCTGGAGAGGATTCGGCCCGTTTGGCAGGAGCGAGAGTGTCAGATAGGATATAGGGAGAATCGGCTAGTCGACGACTGGAATGTTATTCTCGAGATCGAGAAAAATATACTGCGTGTGATCGACTTCATTAGCTACTTTCTACGTCCCCTGTCGCCCCAAGTCTTGCTCAGCATCCTGAATCCGTTTGGTCACTCCTGGAACATGTTGCGGGAAGAGGAAGAGGATGAGTCTCCGGTGAAGGTCACCAGGTCGCAGACCCTTCATCTGGGGCCCATAGACGACTTCTGAAGAACCGCAGATTCTGGCATCCCCAAGGGGCGAGAGCTCAGCTCCAGTCTACACTTAAAAATTTCACATGACAGTTGTATTTCGATTTGGGAAAAATATATTTTTATTAAAAACGGAATCGCAAGAATGTACAGCCTGAAGGATGGAATCTTCGCGGACAGTCTTCTGGGGGGAGGCTCCTGCTTCGAGCGACTGACTCCTTGTTCCTGTCGCTCCGTGCGGAAGCCTCCGTCGAGAAGGTCTCCGAAGAGGCCATTCCAGCCACAAGAACAACAGAACACCTCGAACACGGGGAACCGCCTGGTGGAGCTGATGGAGATGGGTTGCCAATGTAGCCACCAGTCGTCCAGGCATAGATGGCATTCGAGCAGCCAGAAAATCATCCTGGCACTGGCCGTTGTCCTCAACCGTCCACCGGATGTGGTGTCCGACTTCCTGCACTTGCTCACGCTCCAAAACTTTGCTCACATCCTCAGGCCTCGAGGGTGTGACTCCAAGATTCCCTATGTGAACTGCAGTGTCTGCGAAGATTACTTCAGGATTTTCGACATCCATGGAAACATCAGGGACCGCCGTGATCAGGACTCCCTGACGCTTCTTATGCATGTCGTGCAGACCGTGTTGAAGCAAGATTGCCCCAAGGACTCGGGACAAGCAGACGAAATTTATGGCGCCCCACAAAAAAGGGATTCCAGAGCCAGAAGGGCGGGAATCGACCGTGACTCCATCGCTTGGCAAAACGGGAGGAGGCGGTTGATGGACTCGGAGCAGAAGGCCAATGAAAACAGAAGCCATCTTAACTCCAGACGGAAACCCTCGGCTGGAGATGCAGGCACCTTGTTCGGGGCTGCCTTTGACACCGATGACTTATTTGGCCCAATGAATAGGCCCAACTGGTTCTTCGATGGTAACCTCACTAAGGATCGAGCTAAACTGCTTGCTGATCTGCTCCGTCAGATCAACGGGAAGACCTCCCTGACGCGGGACTCGGACAAGTTGATAGATGCCATCAAGGACCTCGATTTGGATGGACCGCCTACTCCGAGGCAATCGTCCACCGATTACGACATGGTCAGGAGGCTCTCGGATTCCTACTACGAAAGGGTTAAGGCCTCTGCCTCGAAATCCATTCTTAGGAAACGCTTCTTGCATGGCTCAAAGAAAAGGTCGAGGACTAATTCGCGTGGTTTTAGCCAGGTAGGACGCCACGAACGACGTTTCTACGGCGCTCAGATTCCGGTTCTCCTGCACGAACCCTTCAACCGGGAGAAACCCTGGACCTGGATGCGCCGCCATCCCCGCCAGGTTCGGGTAAACGAGCTGGGTTGGATAGACGACGGGAACATCCGACGGTATCGACGCGAGACTGTGGAGCAGCTGATGGAGGAAGCCAGACAACGCTTCTCGGTGAACTCTGTAATGTCGCAGAGCTATTCAAAAGACCTACCTCCAACTTGGCGCTCGTACCGCCAACGCTAGGCTATAGATTTTTGTGATTCCCTCGCTAATGAAAATATGTCGCTCTATAGAAATTAACTCAGATTAAATAAATACTTGTAATATATTGATCATATGTGTTTTTTATGTGTTTCTTTTTGTGTATATGTTCAAATAGTTAGTGTTGGTGTTTCACCTGTCAGACGTAATTATTTTTTTATTTTTTTTTTTTTTAAAGAGTTCAAATGTTTATGTGGGTATATATAAGATACGTAGCTATATGAGTTGATACCCTTGCAATAGTTATCCTTTCACTTTAGCTTGCAATACAAAACCAGAACCCAATTTGGGCCCATCAACTTAAGTAATCTCCTCCGGAGCCGTGGCATTGGAAATGCGGCTAATGCCACCGCAACTGTGCTGTTAAATCATTTTGATAATGACACCCGATGGCAGTGGGCCCCAGCTGAAGAGCTGAAGAACTGAAGAGTCGTCTCCCTCCGGAGAAGCAGGGAGTATTATTTTTAGACCGCCACGTCGCCAAGTTGAACCGTGTTTTGTATATTTTCGTGATTTGAGTTTTATGACGTGTAGTAATTTGTTGGCTCGTTAAGTTTCCTTAAGGGGGGGGTAAGGTTTTAAAGGCCAAAAAAAGGGCCATGTTTGATTTGTTTTTGCTGCGAAATGAGTAAGTTTATTTTATTGAGCTTAATTACATGGTATTGTTTAACTTTTGAAGAGTATTAGAAAGAAAAAATTATTAAAAAATATTAAGAAATACGCCTGTGGCGGTTAATCTTCCGAAGCGCTTAAAGAAAAAGTTGTTTTGCGGTGAACATCATAGGGCGTTAACGGATCATCTTAAAAATAAAATGTGATATGCGTTGTAAAGATAATGAATTTCCCGAGGTAATCAGGAAGATTTTTTTTAAAATGAATTTTTTGTTTATTTTTGGGAGCACTTGGAAGTGAAAAGTGCGATTTTAGCTTAAAAATCGCTGTTAATTTATTTTTTAAAAATAGAAAAAAATTAAAAATTAAAAAAATCTCTTCCTGATTACCTGTGTATTTACATTGAGAATTTGTGTTAAAAATTTGAAAAGGATCGGTTCAGTAGATTTTGAGTTCTGATGTTCACCGACTTTCAAAATAACGTCTTCGGCAAAATCGATTCAAAGTATTTTTATACGTGAGAATACGGCCAAATTCGGTCGTTTAAAACGCTGTAACTCCGTTAGTTTGACTCTAATTAACTCAACATTTTTACACAACGTTCTCAACATATTGCTCTCTTAGAAAAAAATATAAAAAAAAATCGAAAAAAAAATTGTTAAAACCTTACCCCCCCCTTAATAGTCTGGGCCAAGGAGGGAAAGATTCGGGCGGTGCAACCCGTTCGCTGCGTATTGAAATGATCTTGCATTTCGCCTGGCTCTCTGGTCAATAAAATTCCAAAATTTTTTACGACCAGCAAAAGGGAAATCCAACCGAAATGTTTTTTATTGCACCAGAAACACTCAATAAAAGCGAATTATTAGTGTTGGATTGCTGTTCTTTGTTTTTGTGTGCTGGCCCGCCTTTCCAATTCTATTCCATATTTTTGGACCGACTTTTTTGAGCTTTTGTTGCCTCTTTTTTTCGGTTCGGTTGAGGTGTAAATGCATTTTTATTACAGTTTTAAAGCCAACAACAGTTTATAGTTGGGCTTTCTTTTTCCCCCGATTTGTTGCTCGCTTCTATTTGCGTGGCTGTGTATTTGAGCCCTAAGCTTTTTGTGGAGTTGGATTTTTTAAATGGTGATCTGTTGTTTATGAACACACATATTTATTATGGCTTTCATATATGCTGCATTTCAGGAGTTGATTAATTGCTTTAATGGGTTCTCTTTGGGAAGATATATTTTCCAGGCAGTTCCTTAAAACCTCTTTGTATTCTAATAGGTATTAAAACAGTTCAAAAGTAAAATACAACAAATTTGTAAAATTAGTTTAAATTACAACTTAATATCCACTTGCTGGTAGTGAAAACTATATGGCACGCATTAGAAAAAGTGATTCAAATACCTGATCCAATAACCTTAATAACTAAGTCATATAAACTAATCAGAGTATTAAAACATTTAACATTCTTCCCAAATTTGGCGCATCTAAATGGCGGAATCTACTCGTAAACAATGTCCTCAGTGGGACGAAAACAAGTCCATAAACCACCGTGGGGATCCCCTCCCCACTCCGCGGAGCGAAATGTGAACGAGTATGTCGCCTGTCAGCCAGTGACATCATAATAGTGTCATTGTCATCAGAGCCACTGCACCGAGGACACCGCTCAACTTTCGAAATGCCAAAAAGAGCGTCGAAAAAGGATGGTCGTAAATCAAAAAAAAGCGCCGCATGACGAGCTAACCAACAAAAACAATTAGAAACAAGCGCAAAAACTAAACGAAACCGGAGGAGCGGAGCAGTGGATTGATGTGGATGTGAGCTCCATGTGCCATGTGCCATGTGCCACATGGGTATAAATAAACAATGCAGCCAGGACGAAGCCAGCAAGGACAACAAGGACAGCGACAACATTTCATCAACGCAAACGAGCGAAACGTTTATCAACTGCTCAAATGGCCATTAAACGTGTGTGTGTCCCGGCATCAACGCCCCAGAGCAGGAGTGGGTGCCCAGGACTATCTGCCAGGACATTCATCAAACGATAAATTGAGTGAATGACTTCATGATGGCGATGCAAAAGGGGCGCACTTCCTCGCTTCCGCTTCTGGCTCACACACACACGCACACACATACACTTGGAGCAAGGACAATTGGCCATGTTGCAGTTGGTGGCGCCCGGAGGCGGTGCGTTTGCCACGCCCCCTCGCACCAGGGCGAAAAGCAGATGGAAAGCCCGGAGAAAAACCCGTTTTGAGCGACTGTCTGCCTTAAATTGCCATCACATCCTGTTGGCAAAAGGACGACGGCTGGCCAATTGTTTCTCTGATTGGTATTCATCCGTGGACTGTCCACTCGGTGCAGCCGTCAGGACCCGTTATCCTTTCGGCCCCGTCCCGTCTTCGTCCTGCTGCCACATCCACATCCACATCCATCATTCGGCGCCTGACGTGACGTTAGTGTTTTAATGGACTCCACTTGTCTGCCTTGATCACAGGACCCTGGACTCCAGACCCAAGCCCAGTCGCACATCCTTTGGCTGCATTGTTTGTCTACGTGTTGGCAGCCGAGTCTGTCAGCCGGAATGAGGGCTTTTTTATTGCACTCCGATTTGGAGTCGGACTCGGAGTCATTTGCATCTTTATTCGAGGCAAAGGCGTATTTATCTTTCGTCTTTGCAGTTGATTTGGCATGCACTCGGAGAAAGATTGCTTGAACGAAGTCAGGGAAAGATTTATTCACAATATGAAAAATAAATATTGCTTATAAATAAAGTAGTTTAAAATGCTTCTGACATTTTATATGGACAATGGGCTAGTAAATATAAAATACCTAAATTGAAAAGGTATATGATGATAATATTTCGTGGTCAAGTTTCATTATGTATTTTGTATTATGGTATAAATAAATAAATAAATAAATAATAATAAAAACAAAACATTAAATATATTTGGTGTTCCCCCTTTTTTGGTGGTAATAATAGTTGAAGATACGACGTTAAAAAAAATATAACTCATTAAACAAATATTTATATATTTTTATTTCTCGTATTTTATTACAATTGGCTTAGATTAAATTAAGATTTGTAACAAATATTTAAATATATATTTTCTTGTTTTTGTATTTAAATATATATTTTATATGTTTCCATTATTTCTTTTAATTAATTCAAGTCGAATTTTATATTTACCTATATATTATAAATTATATTTTATGAGCTAGAAATATTCCCAGTTAAATAGCAATGAGCCTGTTAGGAAGTAAACCCGACTGAATGCCAAAGCCTGTTGGCAGCAAACAAAAACATTCCCATCCCCATTCTGCCAGCCAGGATTACCGGTGATCGTGGCAGAAACGGAAACACTGGCAACAGTGTTGCAATGTAATGAGCTTAGAATACGCGCAGCAGTTGAAGGCGATTCCATCACATTGGCGGCTTACGTCAGCCGACTTCCTGACACTGATCGCGGCGACTTGCTGCTGGCCGATCTAAATCGCAGCTAATATAAACTAATTGGCGTGCTTAGCAGGTGATGAATGCGGCCAAAAGTGTGCGGTAGTGCGCCTCACAAGCTCTCCATCAAGATGCGACACGGCCTGAAATTATCTAATGAATTTTCACTTAATCCGAATCAAAAGTGGCGATCAAGATGCGGCATCCGTTTGCATCTGTTGCCGTCGTCAGCCAAAAGAAAACTCTTGCCTTGTCTTCTGTTGTTGGTTTGCTGGCTTGTTGGTTGTTGTGTCGTTGGTTGTCATAATCCGATCAGCAGGCGAATCCCCGAGTGCCAGGCCCCAAGGCCCCCGAGGATCCCATGGAGCCTAGAGGGGGGAAAGGGGGAGGGAGGGGGGTTATGCAGTCGCTGCTGGCACCCAAGATATGATCTGTGAGGTCGTCAGCACGATCTCATCGCCTCCCTTCCTCCATGGCTGATCCAACGGGTCTGAGTCGCGCGATGATTTTCATTTCATTCCCGCTAATAATTCGCCTGACAGACATTCAGGCATAATTAGAGATTAATTGTTCTATTCATAATTGGTCTTGGCTTGATATTTTTGGACATTTGGCAGGAAGGCGAAAACTACATCAACGTGCTGCTCTCGCCCTGTCACCCTTGCTAAATGGCGGGGATGCCACGAGGTGGGGATGGGATCGGATCGGATCGGATCGGATGGGATGGGATTGTACCCAGAATGACAGCAACAGTTGCCCATGCGGAATCAAAACTGAATGTGATGAGCCGTACGAAAGTGGCGAGAATAGTTCCTCAGCAGGGAGGACGGGATCGGAAAAAGATATTAGCAGCTCTAAAATCACATCGGTCACTCAAAAGATTTATTTAGCTGAAATCATACAGAATATTAAATAATAAGCATTTAACCAAATAAAAAGTTATTTATTAATGTAAAAACTTAAGTCTCACTTGTGTTTGAAATTAAGATATTTTCACTTTTAAAAATAAAATAATAAA